ACACATGTCCGCATAGGAGAGGACGACCGCACTTGTGACTGCATTCCTGATGGAGTCTACCTCCCCAGCATTCCCCACACTTGCCTGTGCAGATGTGCTCGCAGCCCGGTAGGTAATTATGTACCAAGTTTCATCTTTCCACACTAGCTCAATACAAAACGTTCAATGCAATTTACAGCAAAATTTCAAGTGGCTTCCTTTTTATGGCCAACCTTCTTGTATCGTGCATTCCACAGAATTCTTTCGGAAATTTACAATTATTCTTGTTAATTTAGATGAGTTTTTTCTGTGAAAAAAAGGTGCTGTCATGGAATACTTTGATTGGCTTTCTATCGATTCTCTAGAGAACATCTTCACCTGAGGTGCTTCACCAGCATTTATCGAAAAGGAGGCTTATTATTTTCATTGAAAAAAATATGAAAGAATTGTGTGTGAATCGTGACCCACGAGGAATTCCCAACCCAACATGCCTTCAAACGGAACATCATCCGAGGTGTCAGGAATTTAGAGTGACTTGAGCCGGCGATTTCAATAAAATTTCAATGAAATCAGGTGTTCAGGATTCAATTAACAGCTTCCTTTCCGCAGATCCCTTCAAGCAATTTTCAGTTTCCTCACTCTCTTTGCTCGTTCATTCAGCATATACTGTTTATTCCGAAAGTTTCCGACCCACCCACACAAAATGTGGCTAAACACGATGCCAGCTATAGTGAACACATTCTGCTTATCTACACTGGCTACATAAAGATCCGGGCGATCTGTTCAGACCAAGAAAGAAAAGCCTGTGCTGATGCAGGACGGAGGCCCTTGCCACCCGTTTTGCTTCGCATTATGCACTATTCGAGAGATTATGGTACAGGTCTAGAATTTCACCAAGGAACTTTCCGGACCTCAACACCTAAAACACCTGTGGAGCAGGTTCCAGCAGAGTGCTCTGCGTCTGCCCCACCCCATAAATCGGGCGTCAGTCACATCACCAGGGTTCTAAGTGGAGTGAGAAACCTATGCGACAAGCGTCACTCGTCGGTTGGTTGTGAGATTCAAGACGCTGATCCGCGGTTCCTGCAGGCTCGTGGAATTCATAGCAAGTGTTGATGTAGGAATTGGTACCTTAAGTATTCTTGGTCATGTGGAATGTAGTTAAATCAATGTATTCCCGTTAAGGTCGTCTCTATCTTTATTTTAGTGAATCAGAAACTTTCGGAACACCCTGTACACTGGGAGAGATGTACAGCCATTTGGTTATCGTTTGTTTCCTGAGTCCGCACGAGATTGATACCCAAATTGAAGTCTGGTTTTACTACTGGCCAGTGGTAATGGCAACAACGAGCGTCGTGTTACAAGCTGGAAAACTTGAGGCTTTCCGTGATCAAAATTGATCTATCCAGCTCTACTCTTTCTTAGGCCTTCCTTTTTCTCGAACGGCGAAGCATTGCGAATTATGGAATGTTAAACCGATAGTACAGTTGAATGAAAGGGTTCCAGTACTAGACGTAAGGTAATGTGCGAAATTCCTGCAGTCATGAGACGAAAAATAACGTCTGGAACTCGTTGCTTGCACCCACCATACGATTGTAGGCAAAGCATACTCTTATGTAAGAGCAGCTTCTGTTCTCTATGATTCTGTCATCAGTGCCAAGAATGAACTTCAAATGTTTTTAATTCGTCCCTTTCGACCAGATGCACTGACAAATGTTCCCGTTCGTGCCCCCCGTGCAAAAAGAACTGCCAAAATAAATGTGACCACAACCATTGCAAAAAGAAGTGTGGGGATCCTTGTTCCCCCTGTCAGGTAATCCATCACTGACCCTTCCAGGTCTGATTCTTGCATAACAATCGGGTTTGATTCCTTTATGCATTTATTCTCTTCTCAAGGAACCGTGCAAATGGCAGTGCCACAAAGATTGCCCCAGGAAGCAAAAGTGCACAAAAAAGTGCCACGAGATGTGTGACCGAGAGCCATGCGACCAGCCCTGTTCATTGAGGTTTAAGAAATGCAAGCATCCATGCATCGGTCTCTGCGGAGAGAAATGTCCTCCTCTATGCAGAATATGCAATAAAGAAAAATTAACTGAGTTCCAGTTTATCGGGAACGAGACCGACGAGGATGCCAGGTTTGTGTACCTATCGGACTGCAAACACTGCATCGAAGTGAAGGCCATGGATCAATACATGAAGATGGAAATGGAAGAAATCGGGATGAAGAAATGTCCCCGTTGTCACACGGTCATCTGGTCGTCGATGCGGTATGGGAATATCATTCGACAACTTTATCGCAATGTTGCCGCTGTAAAGGAGAAAGCTTTTGGTGATCCGAAACAAAACCAAGATGAGTTTCTGAAATATTTCCAAGACTTTATCCAGCTGGGTGAGTTTTAGAATATGAGTTTCCCATGTACCAATCTAATAAGGCGACAGCCTAATCGTTCAAACTCTTACCTCATTCATACAGACCTGACAGGCTGTTTCCATACAAACGATTCAAGGTCATTGTCTTTTCAAAATTTTGGATTTTTGACTAGGCATGCTCTTAACTCTCGACATTTCAGGTGAAAGAATTTCTAATGAAGGTTTCGGAGTATATGTTGAATAAAATAATTCAACAGCCCTGTACAAACCAAATTTAGATTTTTCAGCAAATGACATTGATGCTCTAGTAATCTTGAAATGTGAGTTCAAATCGATCTGCTTCAGCAGCAAAAAAAAAAAAACACATTGGGCAAGGTCCGAATTTTTTCAAATGCTGACATTAGTGTTTCCAGCTCATTGTTTTCCATATGACGAAGGCAATGGATGACGCTCAGCCAAAGGTAGATAAAACCAAATTGGACCTTCTTTCGTATGCAGGTGTGAGCTCTCATCTGCAGCAGGAAATCAAATCGCTAGAACGCAGTGCAAAGAGCAAGGTGGAAGAGATCAAACAGTGCCGCGTGTCTCCGCACCCCCACCCGATAATAGATCAGTTTGAGCTGTTGTTCTTCAAGCATCAGAAGGAAATCTTGGAGAAGCTGAACCGCGCAGTGACGGCCCAACATTACGGCATCTCCGTCCTGTCTCGAGTCGTTCGACGAGCAAAGACGGTATGGCAACCATCCACGACGAATCAAAGCCCCTCGCCGACGCGTTCACGTTCGCGAGCCTCCTGTGTATCTTCAGATCGCGGATCGGGTGTTGTCAGGGAGGAGGGGATTCAACGACTGGGAACTCGAGTCCATCGTGGGGGAGGTCGCACGTCTCCCTCTCTTTGGCATGTACTGGAAGCTTCAGGTGAGGCCAACCGTGTTCATGTCGCATAAATTAACGTGCATTAAGATATTCCGGATCGTAGATGACGAATCTTCATTGGAACCAACATTAGGAAACATAATAGAGAGAGTTGTCGACAGCATATCATCCAAAGAAGTTATTCCGTTTTGTTTGTATTTTTTTAAAATGAGATTTTTTTAACCCTGCAAAAGTCGCGTGGGTTATTTTATTTCCAACCCCGCCATTACGCGAGCGTCATGGGCATGTTTAATTTTGTTTGAGCTTGATCACTTCAGTACCTTTCAGTAGCCTTCCCCACTTTCATATTTTTTATTTCAATGTTATATCCAAAAAAAAAAAAACACTTGGAAACGTATTCCCCTTTGCGACTACTAATAGTGATTAAAAATAACACGCAACTTCCAAAGTGCTAATTTATTTTTCGCATGGATTTTGCATACATTTTGCCCTCTTTGTTGGAAGTTTCATGGGGAAGTGCCTAAGGCCGAAAAAAGTCGGGAAGACGATGCAACATTACAAAGAAATTATTATTTCGGTTAGAGCACAGGAAATATAATCTATCTAGGAGAATCCGATTGACCTCCTTAAGTCCTTCCACGACTTGTTTATTCTATGCACATGGGTGCCAAACTTTATTTGCGGCATTATTTGCGACGAGATTGCTAGAGTCAATAATGAGCTATGTCGCCCTCGAATTTTTCTCCATAGGCTCATTTTATTGCAGGCCAAACGCATGAAGTCAGTCCAAGTTACAATAAACATTCAAAGCAGACTACAAACGACTTTGCAAAAAATTGATTCAAAGAGTATTGAACGAGCCGGCGGGGTTACGGAACAGGTACCGCGGCAGCATCGGAGTAGTCCCACAGAACATGGAGGTCTGATCAGCCGTCAATTGCCATCACCTCTACCAGACACCTCGAGATCGCTCTTCATACAGTCTTTTTTGTGGTTTCACATCTCTCCCTATTTACTTGTGCTCCATATTTCTTTTTGGGCCCTACGGTCGAGTTGTAAAGCGGCAGATCTCTCGCTCCGGAAGAGATTTCGCTTAAGGGATGTCGTGACATCCCTTCCTAATTAGTGCCGATTACGACCAGTCTCTTGAATTTCAAGAACAGCGCCAGTGAGTGGTGGTGGGGGGGAGTAAGTTCAGTAACTCAATCCGAAGTCGCTCAAACAATTAGCCTTCGCATGTTCATATTAGTTGTAATTCACTTCATGTCTTCAGCTTGTAAAATATGCCGACTGTGATAAACGGTGGTGACATTTGTTCCATAAATAAGCCGGCAATCTTAGCCAAGGCTGCCGTGGAATTTGAGGCGTGTTTGGAAATTCAGGACCCGCACGCATAAAAAATATCAATCTTGGCAAGACAACAGCGCTATGGGCATTCGCCAAGGAATGAAGCTCTACAACGTCTGTGTTCCATCGTGTTCACGATAAAATGTCAATAAATAAACGTGAAGTAAATGGGAAGAGCCGCCATATCAACTGAAGTAACTTATGATTGCAGTAAACTAGGGCTGTACCGATGTATCGGCTAACATCGGTATCGGCCGCTGGTGTTGCACTCTCGGTGCCATCAGCGGCCTATGGCGCCGGTGCCCAGAGGACGGACAAAGCAAAAACAAATTACGTGAGGACGTGAACGCGGCTAGACACCGGCCCTCCTGTCTCATTGAAAGCCATTCCTGCCAGTCTCTCCCAGACCAAAATATCGATCGGATTTGATTCCAGTGATTTTAGGAACCGGCGGAGGAAGGTAGCGGTAAAGAACGGGAAATGATTGCATCTTCATTTACATCATGCTTTTGCAAGGGATGTGTCACTAAATGCTCTCAACAGCAGCTATCGGTAACAAGCTAACCACTGACAGCCTTATAGAGAGACAGACGGGCTAGACAGGACCAAAGATGGTCTATCATTTCAAGGAGGCCTACTGATAAGAATGACATGGTTTCTAATTAGACCAATTAGAATTTATAGGCAATTTCATCTAAAGACCGCATTCGGCACCGGCACCTGCCGATGGTTATGAGGAAAAAATTGGCTATTGGCCCACCCACCGAATTTGGCCATCGGTACAGCCCTACAGCAAACCCATCTCGATGCACACCAACTCCATATTTCTTCGCTCAGTGACGCATTGACCCTATAAAAAAAAATTAATTCCCCCCAGTAATGGACAACCCTCGCTAGCGAGTACTCGTTAAGATTATCAGGACCTTTACAACATCTTGCATGTTTTTGACTGGACTGACTTTGGAGTGAAAGCCACAAAATAGGGGGAAAGGGGCCGTTGATATTACAGATGAAGTGCTGAGTGGTATATATTTATTTTGTAACTCACTCTTATGTCTCTAATGATGTTTAGAGGTCATGAGTTATATTCATGCGCATGGGATGATCATCGAGAACCATTATCCTTTACTCTGATATTCAAAGGATGGAGGAGTAAACCGTTTCCCTGAAGCCATGGAACACATTCGGAAAGCAGAGGTCCATCTTCTCAGTCTAGAAACATTCTCAGATACCATGGTTGAAGAGGTACACAGAGAGTTGAATGCTGCATCTCGCATCTGTGGAGAGTTGGGCATCTCCAAACAAGAGAGAATCATGATATCGAAGGTAGGGATAAGTGTGGCTCGGGCAAAGATTGGAAACACCATTTGAGGTATGTGCTGTCGTTGCAGGCCATGAATCTTAGGCAAGGAAGCTGGTATAAGTGTCCCAATGGACACCCTTTTGCGAACTCGGGGTGTGGGGGAGCCATGGAGGTATCCAAATGCAACGAATGCGGGGCAAAAATCGGTGGAACGAACCACCAGCTGCTCGACGACAACAGCCGCGCTGGAGAAATGGATTATTTGCAGTAGCCTGCATGGTCCTAAAGGAGCTATCACCAGAGTTTTGACCCCCGTCGGTGTTAGTAAGCATCTGTTAACCTCGAGAATATCTTTTTTTTCTGGTTTGTAGTTGAAAGGCGGGAGGCATTTCTCCGTTCTGCATTATTCATGTGTCACCTTTTCCATCTAACTGACCGCTTCCCAAAACTTACGGTTTCCTCATCAGTTACTGTCGATTTCTTGAATGTTTCTCTTTTTTCATGTAACTCTACCTACCTCTTCTTCAACCGAAATTGGCTATTTCATCCACTCAATTAGCATGTCCAAAATATCCTCTCCGCCTTTCTGTCGCGGAATTTGATGTTCCTTTCTTAATTTTGGGAAATTTTACTCATTCCTAGGGCCTGCGATACTATTACTACCGAACCGAATTAAATCTATGCTATACCTTTATCAATGTCCGGGGTGCACGGCCTTCTGTAATTTTTGAGCTGATATATCGAAGGTAGCCGGTATGATTTACGGCATTGTCGTTGTCGCAAACAATTGCTTCTGGGTGTCGAGCTTGGTGGAAATAAAACGGGAAAAATTGATACTTTACAGTATCTGTTCCTCTCTCGAGGATACTGCCGTAGGTCTTCTGATACGATTTCATAAAGAGGCATGACGATTCCTCAAGGGCTGATTGAGTTTTCCGGTGGGTTTTTTTTGTGGAAATTTTCCTGGGTTTTATGCATGATGTATAGCGCTTTATTTGTTTTATGCATGGTATTTTTCATAACTGGTGTTTTACTTGTTTTATTTTTTATTTGGCATGTGATGGTTTCCATCGTTTCCCTGGTTTGATTGGCTTTTGGTGATTCTCTTGGTATGTTTTTTTTTTCCCCAGTTTGTAGTACATTATTTTGATGCTTAGTGGTTTTGTTCATTTCACAATTTTTTTAGTTGCTGACATTCTTTATGGGAATCTTAATGTATCCAGAAAATCCAATTCTGTTTTTTTTTTGGAACGTCTTAATAATATGAAGTAAAAGTTCTTTATTGCTGGATCAATGGAATGGTTATTTCCGCTCTCAGAAACTGCAACATTCGAAATCGAAGGCACTCAATTTGTTAATCCGACTTTGACTTTCGTTGGCCATAAAACGTTTTGTCAGATTTACTGTTCGTTTGCGCAATGAGTGCCCAGGCAACGGGATTGCATGGAAGGTTTTTATCGCACCGAAGTATGAAGTAGCATGACCAAATTTATCTTCGTTATTTGTTATCATTCGCTCATGTGTTAATCACTTTTGTTACTTGGTCAACCATGAAATCATTCGTATGAATTTATACATCGAAGACCTGATGAAACTGTCAGTTGAAGTCTCTGAGAGAGTTGTGCTTCCCTCGATGGCCCATCGAGGGAAATTTGTTTCCTCAGAAATGAGAAAATTGTCACACTTCCTCACAACCTGATTTGGGAAGTTTAAAGAGTTTAAAGAAGTTTAAAGGGAAGAAGGGTAGGGGGGGGGGGAATCAATCAGTTTTTGCAGTTCCTATGCGTCCGCTATTGTGCTCGAGTGATTCTTGAATCTTGGGAACATTTTCCACGTCCGATATCTTTCGAGTAATTGCTCATTGTCTCACTTCGGCAGAATCAAATTTTTTTAAACTTCAGTAGCCTGTGAGGAAAATATTAATCTATACACAGGGCAAGTTTCGTGAAAGTAGCTCCTGTAAGAGCAAAGACATACTGGCTAAAAGCCATTGGTATTTTTTGTCATAGCTTGTATTTTTCAATGTCTATTGAGACTAACTATGTTGTGACTATAGGATACGTTTCTCGTTGAGTTTTATCGACGCGAATTGACACGAATCAATCATTGAAAACAGATCATGGTCCAAGTCCCAGGCAGCACACCCACGTTGTGCCAACGTAGGGAATATGTTGAGTTGTCCCATATGTGCGATGCAGGCGCAATGTTGGGCATTTACAGGCTTCTCCTTCGATCCACGTTGAACTGACATCTGGTCAACATTAATCGACATCGGGTCAACATTAATCGCTGCCGTACGGCATGACTTTCAACCACTTACATAGCGTCTATACTCTATAAGTACAAGATTGTTCTGCTCCCCGACCTTGCCATCGAATCTCTTTCTTTTGTGACATTCACTTTCCACACGGGATTAAAATTCCGATGTGGTTTCATCCATAATTCATCTGATTCGTTTCCCTCCCTGGAAGTGCTCTCAGGTAAAATCCGGCGAGTAGTCTCTATTATCGTTGTTGATAATTCCCCCGAAGGGAGGTGAGACACAGCCTCCACATCACCTTCATCCCATTGAGTCAAGCCCCTAGTTCAACCCTAAAGTTGCCAACCAGTTTTAGGGTTGTTAAAAGTTTTAGGGTTAAACATCATTCCACAATAGCCTGAAGTCTCTCTGGACTCTTCAACCAGTGTCAACTACGCTGTCTGGGAAACGACCAGGGGCCCGTTCCTCACCTCTGCTAAAATTAATGTGAATCCAGGTTAGAAGAGTAGACAAAGTTGGATCGAAAGCGAAGCCCCGAATAATGGCGTTTCTCGCCCAAGGGCAATTGACGTCACTGGTATACACCTGCCCCGACTGCTCCATTCTCGCCCTTGATTTTCCTCCGATGTTATGATATTATTTGAAGCATAATATCCGCATTTCGTAACCAAAATTTTATTGCTCATTTTAAAATGTTTCCTTAAATTGCTGAAGGGAATGCATCAGATGGGAAAGAAGCGGGGAGGATTCCATATTGAAAAGTTTGAGGGGGATGCGACTGTAATGAGAATATATTATTATTTACGGAAGTGGTTGACATGGGTCATTCGCCCTTTTGAAATGGGAATGAAAATAGAGGGTATGTGCTCATCGTCAGACTTGCTCTTCTGTGTTGCTGTATCCCCAAATCAGAGAAAGAGAGCTTGTTTGTCTCGGTCATGGCAAATCACGTGATTTTCATGAACACCATGAGGATATTCCTTCTCACCATTTCAACAAAAAACTCCCACTTCTCACCTTCTTATTCTTGCTGAGCAACTCAGATTTTATGAAGCGATTCCAGAGGAATAGCCGCTTCCTTACAAATATTCGGGATACTCGATGGCTGACTTGGAATTTAAATTGGATCATCTCGGCGGAAGATGACAATTGACCCCAAAGGGTTATTTTGGGATCCCTCCCTTAGTCCACTTCCAGAAATGAATATTCCGCGCATTTTCACCGCATCACTTTGGTCTTTTCCCAACCCAGGATCCTATGAAACGATGAAACTAACTTTTATCTCCGCCGGCTCCAAAACCTGCAGGCGCATTTCTTGCAGGCGGAGACTGCACACACGATCGGCATCTGCGAATGCTATGAATCTGGCAGCGCCACAATCGAGCCATGCAATCGTTCTAGAGCAGGGGTGTCAAACTCGCGGCCCGCCAGTCCATTTTGTCCGGCCCGCTAAGTCCTCTTCAACAGTTGCTTACGGAAACGAACTGCAAACTTCAGCCTGTTTGCATTAAAGATAAGATGTTACAGTTTTGTTGTGGCCCCTAATCACCCCTGAAGGCTTCCATCTGGCCCCCAGTCTAATCGAGTTTGACACCCCTTTTCTAGAGCAATAGAATGGAGATGCAAAGAGCTAAGTAATATAGCAAGAAAAAACTAACCGATACGACATTTTTAACAGAGGAGAAATAGACTAGAAAAAGGAGATTTTATCCATCAGCCGAGGAGAGTGTATACCAGTGACGTCACTGCCTCTCGAGCCCCACCCCCACTGGGATGTAGCCCAACCTTTCTTCTCTTCTAACCTGGATGTAAATAAAAATTTGTAAACATTTAAGTTCAAATTTAAATGTAGGGTGAATTTTTTAACAGAACATTATCCGATAATGCAGCTTTATTTCAGAGAATATTTACGTTACATAACGCTGCGTGATAGTGACACGGAATTAGTATTATTGCGGCTACTTCCTCAAGTTGAGTTCGCTGCTAGTGCTAGCGTGGGATAGGCAGGCAGAGGGTAGCGTGCAAGCACCAACAAGAGAGAGAAGGGAGGCGCGTGCAAGTCGGAGTGTGAAAGTGCGTGCTTGCATGTGATTGGCGAGTGGAGGTTACCAGGAAAAGCTCCGTTTAATACAGTATGTGTTCGCCGCGTTGGTGCCCCTTGTTCCCTTCGTGTTTCACCACTGCCTGCGTCAATGTTTTTTTTTTTTTTTCCAACACTGCTATGTTACCAGCCCTTATCGTGCGGCAACCTCGGAAATCAGAATCAGCTTGAATCTAAATTTGTGGAATGTAGAGTTGTGCTTTTTTTTTTCCAGATGTAAATGACAGCGTAGGGTCTATAGTATTTTCAATAGGCTAAGGAGTTTCGGCGTGTGCCTATATTATGGTTTCATTGCAAATTATCCCACTGCAGCGCCGGCCTTTCACTTCCACTATACTAAAAGAGTGGAAATAAAAAATAATTCAAAGCTCAAGGTTCATGTAGGAACGCGAAGAGTAGACTTCAGTATTCTGTACTTCCCCTTCATCACTCAGACATTGCCCTTGACGGACTCGAGGGGGAATTCATTTTCACGCCTCGGACTTGCATTTAGCATGCTTCTCTCATGACTTCTCACGAGGTCTTGTAGGACGGGCAGCGCAGCTGGGTATGGTGGCGTCGAGTTCCTCCCCTTCAGGCTCTGGTAATTCGCCACCACCACCACCCACGCATAAGTCATGAACCCTCTTGTGGAAGGATGGCGTTAAATCGGTTCTCGCTTCGAAAGCAACTAATTTAGGTGTTCCTTCTCGATATGTTGAAGCTGGGCACATATCTTTCGCAAGTATGGCAAATAGGAAGAGTTTTGAAATAAAAAATTACTTACGAAATTTCCTATCCTACAAATGAGAATCCTTCCCAAAGAATGGACTTTAACACGTGAGTGCACGGTACGAATTAGAATTCCACAATGCGCTTTACCCAAAGGGGTGTATGTGCCCACTCTTCGTAATTTGCTTAGCAAAGTTACTTCGACCCGAATCACGCCAACTAGTTCTTCGAGAAACGAGGAATTTTCACGCTCTGTGCCCTTACGTACGAGGTGCTCCGTTCGCGGCACTTCAATATAAGGCCCGAGCGTTGGGCGCCTCATTTCATAAATTTTGCTCACTCACAGAAGACGATGGATAATCGACCGAGAAATCCGACGCTAGTGTAGGGGAACATGCCAGGTGTGGAGGCTGGAATTTCGGAATCTATAACGAGCACGGACATGAACAGTCCCGTTACCAACGGTTGAAAAAGCATCCAAGGCACGTGCAGGTACCACACATTCTGCAAGATGCAAACAAACGATCAGCAATTTCCTTAATCGAATGACTGGTTCTCTCGTTGAATTCGCGCTGACTCACTTTTTCGGCGCCAAAAAAGAGGAGGATGGAACTGAGAAGATAAATGAGCGAGGCTACGAGGAATCCAATGTAGAATCCATCGTACGGGCTGGAGAGAGAAGATAAATTTTGAGCGGTTAATATTCAAGTTGGACTCGAAGGGTGGATTGAGAAATTCTGAGAGCGATAGGTGAACTTCTCGCGCGGAGGGGGAATTCGAGGAGTCGAGATTAATTAGTGAAAATGCGGTGAACTGTGGACGCGAATGGCGGTTGATCGGGGAGCGGTCGAGAGTAGGTTGGGATGGCCGATCATTTAAATTTGACATGCAAGGAATCGTCTCTTCAAACGGGAAAACATTTTCGCGGGGTTCGATCACTGGGAGATCTGGCGAAATCTGCGCGACGGAACCTCGGCAGATCCAGACTTGTACTTACACTTCGTCGTTCTGATAATCACCGTAGTAATCCTGATAATGATCTTCACCGTCGTAATCCT